GCGTCTAACTCCTTCATCCTGAGAGTCCTGGGTGCGTATAGTCTGTGTGAGAAGAACATACCCGGTCGTTCAGACCATAGCATAGCCACTTTCTTAGCCCTTGCGTTATTTGAACAAAGTCATTAATGGACGCACAATGGGGGCATTGTATCTGTCTGTCTAAAACTGCTTGAAGATTTTCTATGAAATTTAGCACTGAGAGGTGACACTAATATTTGCTCACTTAAATTTTGATACGTATGGCCAATTACATCGTATGATTTTGATAGAGAAACAAAATATAGGTTTAATTAATATCTACAGTTTTACTTGGAAATGTTTTTGATATGGTAATTATGTACCGAAGTACATGAAAGAATAATTTAATTTCCAGTTCTGTGGGACATACGAAGAAGCAAACAACAGAATACATATTAAAGATGTCTGTTGTAAGGATTGTAGCGCCGTGTAGTCAGTCTGGTAGACGTTTGCTAAAGCTTCAGAGGTCCATGCTGCCTTCATCATCAGGGTGCCCTGATGATGGAGGCAGCAAGCACCTCAGAAACGTCGGTAAACTTCTACCAGACTGACTACACGGCGCTACAACCCTTACGACAGACATCTTGAGACTCATCGCTGTGGAAATCTCAAATCCTACTTAGAATACATATTCCCAATATTCTAAGAAGGAGGGCAAAAACATCTTACATTCCTGACTTTGTCTATGTCTACTATGACTGCCCTTTGTATTTATTATTGTCTTTTAAATGGGGTTTAGAATTTTAAGGCAAGGGAACAAAGTGCCATGCAAATCCTGGCAAGAACTCTGGACCCTGAAGAGTGCAAGGCCAATGAATGTTCTTCGGACATCCGCTGTCCCTTTATTGTTCTATGAAGACCAACCAGCCGACGCCTCAATATGGTATTGCTGGGCTTGAGAAGCAGGTACAGTAAGTACATCTTCTGACTTCCCCCAAGAGTCTCAAGCGAAAGGTTTGTAACAAAAGGCTAAATTTCTTCGGGCATATCCCGTGTTTTTCAAATTCAAAAGTGATTTTATCTATCTTCCAGAGGGACAGGCCACTGTATGAACAGTTCTAAACCTTTTCCATGCATTGTGGGATTGGTTCAATATCTCAAGGCGTTTTATGTGAACTGTATTTACGTACTGTGTGTTTGTATGCATGTATGCGCGTATGTACATGCTTTATTGTGCACACTGTAATGATCCTTTGTTTCCATAAAAGACGTGGAATATCTGGACCAGCTGATTAACTATTATATTTCCTAGGAGTGTGGCTCGTGACGTTAGGAAATATGTCGCTGTCTTGTAAGCTAATACTGATGTAAAATATTGTGGTCTAACGTTCATCCGGTATTCATGGAAGTATGGCGAGCTTTCTGTCATTATGTTGTTAAAGTACGCATTGTCTTTGTCAACCGACGTACTACAGCCGCAGAATGTCCCTTCGTTTATTGTACGGCGGCCTATGTACGAGATTAGGCCTGATAGTGAGTGCTTGTGACTTTACCGTTAAGACTCATTCATACATATTTGGGGGTTCAAAGTCGAACGGATATTGGACATTTCAGAAATACAATTGTACACAAGAATCACAAATAAGTCACTAAGAGGCCACTGTCAGAGAACGGTTTAAATGTTTCCGAGTGATGCACCGCTGGATTTTTGGCAGCGATTTGGCTGAAGACTAACTTATTTCTCCGTTTTCTCTATTCAGAGAAATATTTGATCGAAGTTTAGCCTGTTTAAAACTGTTTTATTTCAAAGTATTAACAGTATTGCCATGGAAACCCAAGGTCTCCAGAATCCTCATTAATAACTAATCACTGCCAGTCAACAGTTAGCTTCATTTTCCATAGTTTTTCTTTTGCTTTATAACTGATCACAATTTCCTTGAGAATTTAGATGTTTGTCGAATTTGGCCTTGGGATTAGTGCTATTACTTCCGCCATTTCTACAGCAGGTAATTCTTCTAGTGCCTATGGCAACCAACAGAAAATAATACAATTGTCTGCAGAAAAGGACGAGTGGTTATGAATGTTGTCAGGGAGAAGGATTAAATATGAAGAGGACGAAGAACAGCTGAAGAAGGTCTACTGAGTAGGCAAAGAGTGGAGATGCTAAATATTAAAAAAAGAAAAAGAAAAGATGATGAAAGACAGTTGACAAACGAACGCTAAATACTAGAAGGCTGTACTATAAAGGTAAATTTAAAAGGCCTTTGAAAGATGTATGGGGCGTGGAGTAAGGCTCCACTCATTCCAGGTCTCGAGTGTAATCCTCCGACCGCATTACATTCAGGGAAATAAGCTAGGCACGATTTGCAGAGAAGTCTGGGAAGTACACGGACCCAACAGAAATGAACCACAGGAAAATTTGTTATCGGATGTATTTCACAATGCAAAGTCAGCTGGAGCGTGAAGCTGATTACTTTCCTTCATATCCTGTCGAGGTTCAGAATGATTGGCCTTCACCACTACGTCCCTATACACTTTTGTACTGTGTTAGGCGCAAAGGAATATTGCATGAAGCATTTTATTGTGTTGGAATTAAAAAAGACATGGAGTCCGGGCGAGTGTTTGAAGATTTGTCTCTGAAAACTTTAAAGAATTAGGCACGCATGGCATTGGATATATCGCACAAAGACTGGTAATTAATGTGTATCATTAATTCATAAACTTCATTTATCTCTCTATGCCTGTGTAAATGGCATAATTTAGAATAAAGAAGAAGTCATAAATACTTTTCTGAACTTCTTGCAACAGTAATCAGTATTATCAACATAGAATTCCTCTCATTTCAAAGGTAACTGTCTCCTGAGATGTTGCGCCGTGTAGTCTTCTGCCTCAGTAATCGCCCTGATGATGGAGGCAACAAGTGCCTCCGAAACGACGGCCGATTTCTGCCAGTCTACACGGCGCAGCATCCCAGAAGACAGACGTCTCCTGTCCTTCATTGTTTTCGGCTGACGCCTCGTTAATACCGAGATCATTTTAACAGAATTGTGTCTTATGTCTGCAGCTTCCATGTAAATAAATTTAATTTATGACTGAATTTTCAGATGATGGCAGGAAGGCGTTTGACTTCAAATAAGGTAAGACGTTAAAACTTTTAGATTTAAGGTAAGATGTTGATTAGGAGAATTTTAGGTTCTCACGGCGATGAGTCCGAAGATTTCTGTCTTCTGGGTTGTTGCGCCATGTAGTCTGGCAGAAGTTTACCAACGTTTCAGAGATCGATGCTGCCTCCATCATCAGGGCGACACAGACTGCACTTCAATGGGCTCAACCAAGCAGGAAACATTTAAAAGCCAAAGTTTATGACTTGGTAGTGACTTTGTGAACTGCTTGTACTTTTCCTGTCCCTTCACCGAGGAAGACGTTGGGCGCGTGGTTTGGAAATAATAGGCGGTTTGCAACGCGAGAACTTTTGGGGACTATTTCTTCTCAT